GAGGGGGGGTAGAAGGGGGCGGGGCCGCGAGCCCGGGTCCCTCCCCGCCCCCCCCTCCACACCCGGCCCCAGCGCCCTCCGAAGGCTCGGAACCAAACCTACACCACCACCGAAGGCCTGGAGAAGCCCGCGGTCGCACCCCGCCCGGCCTCTCAGGGTTCGGGGCGGGCAGAAGAGCCGGAAGGGGACGGGTTCTTCCTGGCCCCGCCTACCATGGGGACGGGTTCGCGGAGGGGGCCGCTCGTCGATTTCCGCCGCAGCCCATCTTCTCGCGAGGGCGCACCTCCTCGCGTCTGCGCCGCAGTCATCTTGCCACGGTTGTAGCTGGTGGGTTGTGTGCGGTGTTGAGTTCGGCGACCTGCGCTGCGTCTCTTACCTGAGCCGGAGTTCTTCCGGCTGTTACTTTCTTGGTTCCTTTGAGCCAAGGTCTAGAGAGTTCCTAGGAGTCTGAGGTCTTCTGGGGCTGCGATGGCGAAGTAGGGAAAACGATAGGTGATCTTCAACCAAAAAGGGGTCGCTAGAAATGTTTTGTACTCGCTTCAGTAGGTGTGTGTGTGTGTGTGTGTGTGTGTGTGTGTGTGTGTAGAAAACAACAGTAAAAAGACCGTAAAAGAGCGATGCCCCGAACGTTATGGGGAAAAAGCAGGAGAACGTAAGCTTTAGAAATGAAAGGTGGTGCCAGCCTGGTTTCCAAGGTTACTGCTGCCCTAAACCTAAAGACTAAGAATGTGATGAGCTCCTGTTTTAAATGCACTGCTGCTTTTGCCTCAGCTGGGCTTCCCAACAGAAAGTCCAGAAGCTACCCTCAGTTAAGGGTAATCATTGCACCCTTACTGACAAAACACACCCTGAGTTAGAAATAATAGCTCTTACAAGTTTTTTGTTTTGTTTTGTTTTTGAGACAGGATCTCGATATGTGGTCCAGGCTGGCCTTGAACTCATGGTGATCCTTCTGCCTCAGCCTCCCGAGTAATGGGATTACAGGCACACACCACCACACCTGGCCCACAAGTTGTTTTAATCATCCTTTCAACAACACAGTTTTACCGATGAGACGTTTGAAAACTTTATCGAAATCCAGTGTCTTATCTAAAGTAGAGGTAGGCTTTAATCCAAATCACTGGACTTTTAACACCATTGCTCTTTGCATTGTACCTAGCTATTGCTGCGTGTGTAGTGTTAATTTCAGCGATGCAGAGAAAGCCCCACCTCCTCGTTTTCTCTGCCTATTTCCTTGGTAAGTGAATTAAAAAGGTACTGGTTCTAACCTGTTTAAGGAGGAGTTGCCTTTTTTTTTTTTTCAAACCTCAGGATCAAGAACTTCTATGACCATAAAACCTCAAGAACCCAAAACTTTCGGTATTTTCATTCAAATCAAATGGTAAGCTTTTTAGGAAGGATTTTGCATCTTTGAATAATTATGTTTCTGATCCACTTGAAAAATAAAACTATCTGCCATATAGCTTGGAAAAATTATTGCAACTTCAAAGAGAAATGATTTCTCTCAGATTCTGTGCAGACAAAGAAGAAACACCAAAATTGTTAATTTCTAGCGCATGTCAAAGTTGAACCTTTTGCTCTAGGTTCATAAGACCTAAGAAATCTCTACTCTCCATAAGCAGGTTTTGGCAAAAGAAAGCAAGGCAAAAATAACTCATTACCCTCCCGCCTTCCTCAGCTCGTTAGCCTTGCTCTGCTCAGCCAGAGTGATTTGAACTGCTGAAGACATTACACTTTCCAAGAATGTTTGATTTTTCACACAAGATTCTCACATATCTAATGTGTAATATCACACATCTAGGGTAGTATTACCCAAAAGATACATTTTCTCAGCAGATGCTTAAAAGCATTATTTAGTACTATTATTCCATTTTACAGATGTAGAAGTAACTTGTCCAAAGTCATACATCTAGTAAATTGAAGGGCTGAAGTTTGAAAGTCAATCTTCTTTCCACACTTCCATAGAGTTTTTTTTTTTTTTTTTCTATTTTGCTGGTTACCTCATCAGCCTATACCTCCTGCTAATGAGGCCAGTCCAGATATCACCATGACAGTATGTTAATGCTTTCCTATAGATATCTGTGGATTAGACATTGAACTTATTAATGTAAAAGTCAGTTGTGAATGCCAGGTGATCAAGATTAACATTAACAGTGATAAATCATGTTGACAACATGTATCCTTGATATGATATTATAGTAGCATTCTGTGGTCTTCCTCCCAAAAACCTCATAACCCTTGACCATGAGAATAAAACAGACAAATACAAGTTACAAGACATTCCACAAAGTACAGTACCTACCCAATACTCCTTGAAGCTATCAAAGTGGGCAAGGGGTATAGCTCAGACAGAGTGCTTCCCTAGTTTGTGGAACCCTGAGCTAGATCCTCAACACTGTTAAGAAAAATCAAGGTCTTCAAAAACAAGAAAAGTCAAAAACTGCCACTGCCACAACCAAGAGGAGTCTAAGGACACATGACTAAAAGGAATATGGTATCCAGGGTGGGGTCTTGGAAGAGGAAAACTAGGAATAGGTTAGGAAGGTGGTAGTTCATAGAAACAAAATACACAGATATGTTAAGCGAGGTCTTTCCATTGTAAATGAAAAGACTAAACCGACACTATTTTAAGAAAGCAATTATAGGATAGCTCACAGTGCTACTGGCAGAAGAGCTAGAAGTAGGACATCTACAGGGGATTTCATGCTTCAAGAACTCGTTCTCACCTCTGCTTGGCTTTATTATCTCCTATTTTGATGATCATTTTTCTGTGCTTGCTTCGGCAACACATATACAGACGATCATTTTTCTTGTAGAGAGGAAATATGGGCCCAGTATTCTGACATTTTCATGGTCTAAAAAGCAAGGGAGCCAGGCCTGGTGGCACACACCTGTAATCCTGTACTCTGGGAGACTGAGTTAGGAGGTTTTCAAATTTAAACCTAGTCTGGGCAACTAAGCAATTTAGCGAGAGACCCTGCCTCAAAATAATAATTTTTTTAAAAGGCTGCAGATCTAGCTCAGTGTGAAGACCCTGGGTTCACGCCGCTGTGCTAAAGAAGAGAAGAGGGTAGGGTGAAGAAGCAACAGAAGTTTGTCTTGTAGCTCTTGCTGTAAAAATGGCTATGGAAGGATTCTGACTTCAATCCTAATCAGGTACCTACCCCCTGTACTCATCACTGTGGGCAGACAGGTAAGATATGATTGGCTCAGCACAGGGCACTCTTACGTGGGCAGTAGACAAACTGTAACCGAGAAACAGAAAGAGTATTGGGCCAAAACAATTATAACTGAGTTTTCTTTCCTTCTCATTGATCTAAAGTTAGTCTAACATCACCCCAAAGACCAAGAAGGCAAAGAGATATGGACTTAGAACAGACAGTAAGGTCCTCAGTTGAAAATTAGAATCTCCTAGCCTGGTGTGGTGGTGCACACCTGTAATCCCAGCCCTCGGGAGGCTGAGGCAGAAGGATCACTGTAAGTTCGAAAGCAGTGTGGGCTACAAAGTGAGTTCAAAGCCAGCCTGAACTGCATAGCGAAACCCTGTCTCAAAAATGCTAAAAAAAAAAAAAAAAAAAAAAAAAAAGAAATTAGAGTCTCCAAGTAAAAGAAAACAAACACCTACAAATGGGGAGAATAATGAAGCCTAGTCTCATGTGTGTATTGTGTGACTTAAATGAGTTCATACGTGTCCAATGCTTCAAAACAGGCACTTAGCAAGTATTCAGGAAGTGTTTCCTGCCATTACTGCAGCTGTGGTTCTCAAGGCGTGTTCACTGCTTGTCTACATACTGAATACACAATGCCCACAAAATCCCACTCCTTTTTAACAAGTCTGAGACTTGTGATGAACAAAATAAAAATGTATTTGAAATTACTAATGAGTTCATCATAACTCTTTTCACTATATATTTTTAGTCAGCAGATACTAAAGCTAATTACTAGCATATTGGTATCTGTACGGTTTTGACAACTTTTTTAGAGTCAAAAGATTAGCAATTTCTAGATTTTAAGCACACATTTGGTGTGTATATATGTACATATGACAGGGTCTCACCATGTAGTCAAGGCTGACTTTTTTATGTTTTGTTTTTGTCTTATTGAGACAGGGTCTCACTTATGCAGTTCAGGCTGCCCTTGAGCTCAGTTCGTAGCCCAGGCTGGCCTCAAATTCACAATGATCCTCCTGTCTCAGCCTTCTGAGTGCTGGGATTACAGGTGTGCGCCACCACGCCCAGCTTGAGGCTGATTTTGAACTCCCTATGAAACCCAGGCTGGCCTCAAACTCATGATCCTCCTGCCTTAGCCTCCCTAGTGTTGGGATTACAGGCATGCACCACCAGACTTGGCAAGACTACATTTTTTATAGGCCTATAACCCAACCTCTCCCAACCTTCACAGCCATATCTTTCTCTATTCCCTAGCACTGAAGTATCCAGTTTTATAGGGTGTATTAAACCTCTGACCCTTTGTTTGGCTATTCCCTCCTTTTGGACCATCTCCCCAACTTTCTTTTACCATTCATTCATACACATAGTTATTCTTAATAACAATGATACTGTTATGGTTGATACATTGTATCAACTTGGGGAGTCTAGAGGTTTGGCTAAAGGAAGCCAGGGTGCTTACTTTGTATACATCCTGAACCTGTGGAAGAGGAGGGCATGGAGATTATGTGAGAGCTACATGCCCCTTAGGTGGGGGTAGCCTGTTTACAAGTAAGGGAGGGAAAGAAGCTGCTTGCCGCCATTCCTCCCTTTTTGCTCTGGCTGTTTGCTGTTCGGCTGCCATTCCCCCCTTTGCTCTTGTTGCTTTGCTACCTTCTGCCTGGGAGCCAGCCAAGTATGGACTGAAACCTCCACAACCAGTAAGCTAAATAAACCTTTCCTTTCTTCATTTTGGGCGTTGTGTGTTTTGTCTCAGCAACAAGAGAAAAGTAACTAAGACAGATACAAATTTCTCACATACCCACAAAATTATAATTTTAGTGTTAATATAATAGTTGACTGAAACAATAATGCCCAACCGGAAGCCATTCAGTTTCCCTCCTTAAAAACATTTTTTGACACCTCTTACCCCATCCCATGCCTACTG